TGATCTAGCTTCAATTGACTCATGATTCCAACCAGTGAAATATCGTGAGAAATGCTAAATTATTTTTAAATATAGAAATTTAAAATTCCTACAGTTCTATACATCATTAAAAAAAATATAATGAATAATTTAATTTATTCATTGAATTGAACCTTGATCGTTTGTTTGATTACCTTTTTTTAAAAAAAATCAATGTTACACTTATGATCAGTGATGAGCTAACATCAATCGGTTAATGACCTTAATCAAAAATATAATAATCTCTACAACCCCATACTAATAAAACAAAATTTAATCTAGTTAACTCCAACAATATTGGTGTTCAGTGATTATAGTTATCGTATTAATCTACTAGAATTATTTGGATTTTGTTTAAAAGTAATGAACGGTTGATGGTTAAAATATATTACTTAATAGTGTTTAATTTTTAAACAAATTATGTTTATTTTGTATAATTGATTTCCTAAATTGAGTTTATGATATAGATACTCGTAATGTTGAACTTGTGTCTAAAGTTAGATATTAACATCATTGGATCGCAGCCGGTTCATTGGTCTTGAGGTTAAGCGTTCCCGCGCGAGACTGATAAGTTATGGGTCCGAATCTCACGCGAGCGAGATTGTGAATGTGCACTGCTGAGGAATCCCACAATAGGACGAAACGGTTGTCCAGTTCTTCTAGGTTTTCTATGGTGGTCTAGCTTCAATTGAATCACGATTTCAACTATTGAAATAACTATAATACCCACAAAAACCCCTTCCGAAAAGTAATATTCATTGTCTTTATTATTTCAAACACCGAAATAATTAAGTCATAACTAGTAAATTTCACACAATTTGAAAGTAAGACAGTAATTGTTAAACAATTCTGATCAATGGTAAATTTAATAATGTTGAAAATATGAATTGTTGGGTTACAATTCTGTAGTCAAAATATCCCATTCTTGTCATGAGACCTAATGATCCTTGATTTAATTATTATTATACTTAAGAGTCATACTTTAATGAATATTTACTTGAATTGTTTTCTTGTATTGGATTAACAAGTTGGTATTAGTTGGATGAAATAGTGAGTGAATTGATTGCTTAGCGAAGTATTTTATCAACTGTTTATGATCTTTATTACTACACAGCTTCTTTTGTGTTTTCAGTTTGTGTGTTCACTAAAACTTTATAAGATCTAATCAAGAGTTGTTTCACATTGAATTCAAACAAATAACATTTTGGCAAAATCGTTAAACGTTTTTTTCTTAAACCATGAAACGTCCTACGTAAAATTTGTTAAAGATTTTTTGGTAGCTGGTTATAGTTTGATAAAAGGGTTACAAACAAATTTAGAAGTGTTTATTAATGGATTCCAGCTCAATAATATATATCATTTGAGCTCTAGGAGGTAAACTTAAAGATCATGTATTGAAAACGTTATAGGCTAGTATAAAACGCGCTGTTGAGGAATGTCATATTACGAAAAAATAACTGTCCAGTGTTCTTCATTTTTTGAAAGCACTTTAATCGTGATCATTCTCTGATGAATGTCATCTATATAATGACTGATTGATTCATATATGAAGTAATATTTACTTTTTAAAAGTCATGAATATTTATATATGAATGACTAGACTGACTAACTATGACTGTGTATTTCCAATGATTTTAATATGTATATTAATTGTGTTTGTCAATGATATTCATCTATACATATTACATAGTTACATATAAACAAGGTATCTACCTAACAAACTTTTATGATTAATCATTGTAGATTTTATGTTGACATGTAACAGAACTAGATACTGCTTTTTCACTTTTTCAATAACCTTTGTCATATAGTTATTTCACTTACAAATAACACATTTTGTTTACATTTAAAAATGACCCTGTTTATTAAAAATAATTAATCTTGTTAATCCGTAAGTTAGTCTAAATTGTTCGACGTAGTGAAAAGTTAAAAGAAATTATCAGTTTTGTTTATTTTTCAAAATTTGAAGTGTAAATATACCATTCTACGATCGTTTACATTTTTCTTATAAACTTGTTTGATAAAACAAATAATATATATAATAAATATTTAATTGCACTGTAGTCAATGAGATTAGATGGTGGTTGGAGGTAGTCGACAGGAAACCCTGGACCGCCAGGTAGCACCAGTTCCCTCAGGATTACAGGTACACCTTGCTGACGAGTGCCAAGTAGCACGAAACCCGGGTCCAGGGTTTCCTGTCGACTACCTCCAACCACCATCTAATCTCAATTACAGTGCCCGCAGTGTCGAGTCACCTAGACTGGTGGCCACATTGCAACATGATCGATAGCATTTGATCTGCACTAAATAAGGACTTGACACACATGACACTGATCACCACCCAGTGATCAATCAATTGTGTAGTGAATGAGAACACACATATGTGGACAATCGAATGTATTTCAATACAAAATTAGAGAATATCTTAGCGAAATCTGTGAATCATACGGTAAATTTTTCATTTGCAATATATTAATCAGTTGTCTCAAACTTGACTATTCCTTCTGCAAAATATCAATCAATCTTCTTAGACTTTATTATTCTTTCATTTCCACATCAATCAATCACTGTTATCGTTCTCTTTCCTTCGATCTTCTTAACCTTCTGTCATTTTCAATTGATGATACATACTACTTATATCTGTCGACATCAGTAGCACACACCATAATACACTTGAATGTTTTATCTTGAAACTAAACTGAAAATTGCTAGGTATATCTTAAAATATTCAAATAAAATACAGAATGGAATTTGTTTGGTGTCTGAGACTGAATGTAGAGTAATAGAATTCTGAAATAATATAATAAACATAAATTCTTTGTATTTAATGAATGTCAAACTAAAGGATACCTTGTAATTAACATGGTTTTCTGCTACAAACAATCCAACTATGTATAACCATATGATACGAAGATTCTATGATTAACAGTTATATTTTATATAACCATAAATAAACCATAAACTTATGACTAGTTATTTTGAGTTCTGAACATTAAGTCACCTTAATTCTTTACCTCACAATTATCACTATGAAAGTGAAATTTCTTAGATTAAAGTGTTTCAGATGTTTTCTGGATCGGATTTTATAACTTGTAGATATATAACACTGGAACAAGTTATTTCACTTCTAGGGAAATCCTTATAATAAATAGTGAAATACTTTTTTCAATTTTATTCTTCTCAACTACTTAGATGCATCGTTTACTTTTTATTACATTTTTATTAGTAATTTAAATAATTAAATATTCTATCCAAAAGTAAATCTGGGTTATGGACTATTCAAACATAAAGAATACTGGAATGAACAATCGTTTTCAGTAACTTCATTATCAGACTCGACATATGTATACATTCTTATTTATAATAGTAAAAAGGCCAAATTATGTCATGTTAGTGAGTTAGATAAAGTTATGTAGTGGAAAATGGTGAACTTTTTAATATTTGCGGGTACAAATAATTCGAAACTGCATCATTTATACATTAAAAAGATTAATTTGTGAAAGGTTAGAGGAACTCATTATGAAGAGTCAAAATACAATCAACATAATAATAAAATAAGTCATGTGAATAAAATACATAGTACAGAAAATTTTCTCTGGTTAATTAAGGTACTAATAACAACAATAATAATGTTAATAACGTATCGTGAATATACTACGTAATAAGAGAGGTGTTGTTAGGATAATTATGATGAGAAATTCGTGTGAATTTGAAAAACACATCTGTAAGTTGAAAATGGAACAGAGCAGATATAAAAATAATGTAGTGATCTAGTTGTTGGTCAAGGTAAACGTAGAGGCTGAATATACATCTTCTGGATGTATAAGTCAGGTCTTCAGGTGATCACAATGGCTCTATTTATTTACAGGAATTGTATTCTTGATCCTTTAGGTTGATTATTTTGAGTTTAATATAAAACCAAGAAGCTGTTATTTACTTTGATATGACATTCGCAATCTACCGAACTAGAAGGGCGACACTGTCAAAAGATATCATAGCACCTCTTCTCAAACTTACTGGATAGTATAATTGATTTTTTTGTAGCATTATGTAACTATTAGTTTATTTGTAATTCCTTTTTGGGTGGTGTGAATAAAGCAACTACTCAAAGGCGAATAACTAAATTAGTTTCGCTTTCAATTTTGAAGCTATCGTGTCGAATCTTTGAAATTGTCCCGATGTTATTGATTAAATTTATTCATATGATTAATAGTGCGACTAGTTTCATATTTCTATTGGTGTCGTAATTAATTATTAAGGAAACTGCTATTGATCAAATACATGAATCTTTAAAATATATCAACTAACCTACCGTCAATAAAATTACTCGACAACATTCAAGCCAATAATATTTTCAATCTCATTTAGCAAATAACGTCTTTTCGGAAAAATCAAAAGTCAGACAGTTATTTTGAATAAAACTAAGCATCATCTTGTTTTGTCATGGAATGAATATAATGAATAATGGATTTTAATTCAGTAGTATTGAAAGTCTAAAGTTTAATACGAATCCTTTAGGTTTTAGTTTCATTCGAATAGAGGTTCATGAATGCTCACTGATTTTTTGAATTTTTATTATTCATCAAACGATATTAATCTATTGCAATTACACTTTATAAGTAAAGATGGATGGTGACCTGCAGTGAAATCCAGGATGCGCGTTCCGTCCTATTTGTGACTCATAAGATGGATGTACTTGCATCTTAAATGGGACAAAATGCGCGTCCTGGATTCACCTGTTAGCCACCATCCATTTTTGCTTATAGTACTTGTGACTTAAAGCAATATTGAGACAACCCTTACAGAATGTATATATGCCGATATGAGATTGATCAACTACAGTTCTGAGCATCAAATAAACAGTACAAAATGAATTATTCAACTGGTTTATTATAATTGTTGTAAATGCTTTTTAATGTTTGTTAAATGTTTCACTGAAATATACTTAACTTTTTTTCTTTTGTATTGTTTTATTTTAGTGTTTATCAAATTTCCAAAGTGCCAAATGTTCATTCATTCATTATGTTTATTATGTAAAATAATAATCATTTCAATAACAGTAATAATTCCTAAATGTTTTTGTCTTATGGGAAGTCCTCCAACAAATTTACCGGAATGTTTGAATTCTGGAACAAGAACCACTATTAATGAACGTTACAGGTAAACAAGGTATTTTTTTTATACCGATTAACTAGTTTCAATTTTTTCTTTTTTATTCATATTCTAAAAAAATTTTCTGGAAACCAATCATAAACGATTGAATAATGAAACTTTGAGATGTTATTTTGGTGTATAATTAAAAAGGTGATATATACTTGTATTACATGTTTGGGCTGACTTTTTAGTGGCTCGAGATCCCACTTCAGGTAGATCGTTTCTGATTATTATTGAAATATACAAGTCGCCAATCCTCTTAATATAAACATTGACTTAAATCACGTTGGTGAATAACGGAATTAAATAAGTTAAATACGAGAATGAATTTTTGAATACCTATAATTTTTACAATCGTTGATCAGAATAGACAATCAGAGAGACGTAGCGAAGGAAGCGAAGAGGATAGATAAAAGTGAAGTGGAATCATGCGCAGTGGAGAAGACGTGTGAACCAACTCGATTTAGTCAAACGTTAATCAATATTTATAGTCACACAAAAATAAGTTACATACATGCGATGAACTGGATAAGAAGTGCACACACATAGGCTCATATAAAAACAGTCAAGGTTGATAAGAGAATAATTGGAAAGGTCAAAATGTGACTCAAAGAGAATGAGTAAATTGACTTGTCCGGAAGCTAGAATAAGCTATGTGGGCTTAACATAGCAACTGAAACTAGAACTTACATTATCTAACATTATCTAACACATAAAAAATGCTATCATCATCTAATGATAATAGCTATTACCGAATCATACACAGGTGACTGCAGCTTTCTTTATGTAGAAGATAACATTGATGACGTATTGCTATTACTAGAGGATTAGGTAAGCGGTTTGATAAATAATTTTCTTGACTGAATGTTTAATTATTTAGATAAGAATGTAAGAAAATATTTTATATATTCTAAGTTATCGAATTATCATAAGCTATATCATACAGAAACGTAGCTTTGAAGAAACAGATAGAAACAGTACAACTTATTCAAGTTCACATTAATTGTATGAAGCCTAGTATAATATAGAAGTAAATATCTTTGGTTTTGAATAAATATGCATCAAAATTTTATTAGAAAATCTAGTTATTCAATAAGTCATTTAGATAAATGAAAGTTTTTTTTCAAAATCCCTTCAGTTTAACGATATTATCATATCAATCGATTAATATGTACTTGTTCAAAAACTATTCTACCTATTTATTGATCTTGAGTGCTGTTCGAGGTACGAGGGCAGTTATTACTTCCCGATTATCCACACCGTGGAAGGATCCTTTTGGAGGTATCTTACAAGGAAATTGGGTTAGAGGTGGTCTTAGTGACCTGAGAGCGTGACCGCAGTGCCTAAAGGATAACTGCTTGAGGTTGGTCGCACACGACCTTTTCGTTAGTAATTTTCGTATTAGCTCCGTATTTGTTGAGACGTCACCTATGGCGAAGGCGAGATATCTGTCTCTCAACTAAAGGACGAGTATACTGTGCGTCATTTCGTTATGTTCTATTTTATGGCTGCGAAACGTGGCCACTAAGAGTAGAAGATTCTCGTAAGTTGCTAGTATTTTACCACAGATGTCTTAGAAATGTCTCTCGCACCTTCTGGGATCACCGGGTAAGTAATAGTGAGGTTAGGTGCAGAGTATTAGGTAATAATGGTGAATCAGTTGATGAGATTGTAAATGTACATTGACTGCGATAGTTGGACCACGTGTTACTCATACCTGACCACCTATTACCACAACGCGCAATGATGAATAGTGTTGGGGATGGTTGGAAGAAAGTTAGGGGCGGCCAAGCCAAAACGTGACATCAGTGCTTGAAGACACTAACTTCTAGTCTGAGGCATGTTAGTAGATGCAGACTACTTGGTTGGGATCCGCGTGACTATCGTAACCAGTGGTTGGAGACTCTTGGTGACATGGCTCAGAATCGATGACAGTAGCGTACGTGTATACACTCTTTGTCTTCCCTTAAACTATGAGATTAAGTTCGCTTTATGTCCTTTTTTCTACGAACTAATTCTTTCTTCCTGTACTATGTTCTTATATGCAATATTTCTTTTATATGTTACCACCACTTAATTAATTACTTTTATGAATTCGGTGTTCATCTTGTTGTGCTAATGAGGTATGGTAACTTGGACCGATGCATATATGTGTCTGGTCATACGTCGTAGCTGACTGATCTATTTCATTTAGATTTATCTAATAGCATAACTGGATTGCATAAAAAGTGTCCTTTATGACAGTTTTTTTAAACACGTTGAAGAAGTATGATGCTGTAAATCGGGGATATTAATTTAGTTATAACAAAATCTTGAAATATCATGAACAAATTAGTATACTTTTTTATTTTCTAATCACATCCATCATTTCTGGTTATTTTTAACGTGAAGAGATTAAAACCAATTACTTAATTTGAATGGATTATTTATTCACATTGAAATGTAGTGAATTTACTTAATTTCAGGTTTCATTTCACATGAGTATTCTTCCAAACAAGTAATATATATGGTTTTTGATTGAGATCATTAACCGATTGATGTTAGACCACCATTGAAAACCTGAAGGCACTGGATGGCAGTTTCGTTTTATTGTAGGACTCCTCAGCAGTGCGCATCCACGATCCCGCTCGCGGAATTCGAACCCAGGGCCTTCCGTCTCGCGCGTGAACTTTTAACCTACTGGACCTCTGAGCTGACATCCAACAGTCTTAAGGTCTAACCTGGGTTCCATCCCCGCCAGCGGGACCGTGGAAGTGCGATACTGAGGAGTCCCATAAGAGGACGAAACGGCCGTTCAGTGCTTCCAGGTTTCTAGTGGTGGTCTAACATCAATCGGTCCATGATCTCAATCAAAAACTTAATAATCTCCACAACCCCTATACTGATAATATATGTGTTTTAAAATTGAAAAAAGGGCATGTATACAATCTATATTTTTACATCAATATATAAAGAACTTTATTAAATGTTCATCTGAATTAGATAGAAGATCAGAGGGATAAAGTTGATTAGGAAAGTTAAAGTAAGACTTTTACACTGTTGAAAAGATGGTTTATTAGGTTCGCTCATGGTAATTTACATTATATTCATGATATCAAACTTGAATATTAACTTAAAGTTAGGGCTTTCAATCTTTATGACAGGCATGACTTACTATGAAAACTTGACTTTTTCAGTATGAAGCAATTAATCCTTAGAGAAAATCATCTAATACCCTTATTTATGTGTAAAATTTGTCAAGAATTAACTTTATTCTATAGTTAGCATTACATTTTACCTTTTTTAACCATATCAATCTATTTTTGTTTTTTAATCAGTTGTTCATGTATAGATTCTTATATGAATCGACAATGTAAACTATTGTCGATTAATGTTGCCAATACTCCAATAGAAATGCCTTTCACTAGTTTTTATATTAATACAACAATTCAACAAACTGTACATATTGGTTTTCAATTTATCACTTCAGACAACAGTGGAAACGGTACACTGTTTACACTTAGAAATATGGTAAGCTACTATGTATTGATCATTTATATTGTCTTAAAAATAGTTTCGTTGTTTAGTTATCCTAACTGTTTATTTTTTATGATCTCTGTTAAAAAATTAAAAAAAACTAAGCTTTTTTGAAAACAAGCTGATAATAATGGGCTGAAATTAAATTAATGAAAATGCTTACATTTTAATTCATGGTGTTCAGTTCCAAATGGTTATGTTAACTGTTTCATTGAGTGTACGATGCCACCAAATACCCTGGTACGAAAAGCGAATGTCCAGCGTTTTAACCGGGTTGGTGGAGAGTTGGAAAACCCTGATTCCAAACCAATGGTGCACATCGGCTCCAGGATCTTGAGGGAACAAATGGCGTAGGAACTAATTATTGGTCACTGGCTACCATGGGACTGCATCTCCTGACGTTGTTCCACTGCCTTGTAGATCGGACTCTTAGGTCGAAGACCCCTATTATGGCCACATAAGAAGACCACCTGCTTCGGTCTGGGCACCAGGACATCATCACAGCCCACACACAAATCAATTGACTTGTGCGGCGCATATGTATTCGGTGCTCCTTACTACCAATGTTTATGTGTTTAAATAAATAAATAAATAAATAAATAAACAAATAAAACGATATTTTTCAGTTTCGGTTTCACTGGATAACAACTGAATGTGTTATCTAGATATATGAACTTCAAAATTCAATAAACTAAGCATTTTAACTTAGATATATAAAACTTCTAGTTGGTAATTACAGTTAAAAATAAATAGTAACTCGGTCTTCCTTCATTACTTCGTGGATGATAATGATTCAGTCACAATTGATTGATCACTGGATGGCGATCAATGTCATGCGTGTCAAGTCCTTGTTAGTGCAGATCGAAAGCTAACGATCACGTTGCAATGTAGCCACCAGTCTAGGTGACTCGACAATGCGGGCACTATATATTGAGATTAGATAGTGGTTGGAGGTAGTCAACAGGAAACCCTGGACCCGGGTTTCGTGCTACTTGCTATCCGAGCCGCGATAGCTCAGTGGTAACGTCTCTGACTGTGAAGCTGGGTGACACGAGATCGAATCCTCCAGGGAGCACCAGTTTCCTCAAGATTACAGGTACACCTTGCTGACGAGTGCCAAGTAGCACGAAACCCGGGTCCAGGGTTTCCTGTCGACTACATCCAACCACCATCTAATAATGATTCAGCTTTATTTGTGATTATCTACATAAAGTAAAAATATATCTAGTAGTTTTATGGAATTATTTTTAAATAATACCTAACAATCATTATAGCCTAATAGTTATAACAAAAGATAATACTTTACGAATAACTGGAGATTAAGGTTTATCACTAAAAAAAATCAACCATAGATACTTTTCATGTAAACTGTTTCGAAAACATATATTTCTTTTCAAACATTATAAATGACCATATTACTGATAAAGTTAAATGTAAAGTGTATCATTTAGGTTAAAAAAACCCTGTTGTTTTATATGATGAATTTACTTTGATTTGTTCCAATCTTTGCTTCTACCTTGACGTGGTGGTTGGGCTTGCCCATTGTAATGAACCAATCGGGTTATACTGGCTGGAACAATCGTTCCTACCGTGCTAGACAGGTCGGTTGAAGAACAGTAAGACTAAAAGCAGCAAACCCAAGGTCCGAAGGCGAAGTCGTACTGTTGGCTATACAGAAGTTTGACGACAGTAATGTGTTTCCTTCAGACAACCAGCATGACAGTGATGCTGCCTTCTCACAAGGAGGGGTAGGGTTAGAGAAAGTCGACCTTAATGATGCACACCTCGCATTACCTAACGAATATCCGTCCCCGGCGGTAGGATCTTAACATTGAAGGAGCTAACACGAAAATTACTAACAAAAAGGTCATGTGTAACCGACCTCAAGCAGTTGTCCCTTGAGCACTGAGGTCACACTCTCGGGTCTGTAAGACCATCTCTAACTTGATTTCCTCCTCAGGTGCCTCCAGAAGAACCCTTCCACGGTGTGGATAACCGGGAAGTGATAACTGCCCTCATACCTTTAACATCACTCAAGACAGACTGACTTTGATTTGTATACTTATCGATGGTGTTCTTTTGATTTGCTTCTAATTACCGAATTCGTAATATAACTTCAGGTTAGTTAGTCTTTTGACAAGCAAAATAGATTTTGTGGTTTTCAACTGGTTTACATTATATAATAATGTACAGAATGTTTTTGTTACTGGAAGTAATTTACTTCATATGTCGATAAGTATATAATCTAAGTCAAACAAAGATATAAGAAAATAACAAGTATAGTCATAGCTTTTAAATATGTCATCGGTGTCATTGTTTTGCAAATATTTTGACTTATATAATGTATCAGTTTTAAAACAACGAAAATATAATTTCATTTATGGCAGTGAAACATGGCCGGTAAGAGTAGAGTATATCCGTAGGTTACTAGTATTCGATCATAGGTGTCTTCGAAACATTGCTCGTATATCATGGGACCATCGAGTAAGTAACGCAGTTGTTAGGAACGGGTACTAGGTAAGGATGGCAAATCATTTGATGAAGTAGTGAAACTTCATCAGTTGAGATGGCTGGGACACGTGTTACGTATGCCCAACGACCGACTGCCTCGATGTGCTATGTTCAGTGGTATAGGAGTAGGTTGGAAGAAAGCTAGAGGCGGCCAGACCAAAACATGGCACAAGTCCATGAAGTCACTGACAAGTGGACTGAGTCATGTTGGTAGGTGTAGACTACCTGGTTGGGGACCACGAGATGATAGCAACCGATGGTTAGAAACCCTGAATGACATGGCTCAAAATCGTTTGCAATGGCACAGGTGCATCCATTCTTTGTGTTCTCCCAAATTCTAATCTTCTGAATTCTTCATGTCCCTTTTTTCCTCTTTCCAAATTTGTTTCACTGGATTATACTCTTTAAATAACATCTCCAAACCCTAATCTTCCCGATTACTGCTTATACTCTTGCTACCTCTACCACTACGTGATTTGAATCGACCACTGCATCTCTGTGCTAATGTGGTGTGGCAACTCGAACTGATGTACGTACGTACGAAGTTCTACGTTGTTACTGACTGACTGATTTGATGCTTAATTAGAACAATTAGCTGTCTTAAATTTATAAATGGAATAGGTTAAAGGCATAATTAATTTTCAATAGACCAATTAGGCATATTTACTATTTGAATTCGCGCATAATCATAGTAAGATAAATATTGTTCAATGGTAGATAACTTCTTATGTGTTCGCTTTGAGTATATGAACATTATAAGTTACCATATGCTTATGAAGTAATTATGACTTATTATCTATCATATTCAAAGAATATTTTTCATTACAAAGACTTATTGAATGAAAACAAAAATGCACTGTTGAGCTGATTCATCCAAGTTGTTGATATTGTAGATCATATAGCTACGAATATTCGTCAAAATTTGTAAGTATAGTTAGAAATTAGACCTCGAGTATATAGAAGATATTTTTATAGAAACTATATTTGAACTGCTTTCAGGATTGTATTTTCGGGCAAATTATTTATTGTAGCTTAATATAACTGAGAATAAATGCAATTCTGTATAACTGAGGTATTTTCTCGTAGAGATTTTAGTTAATAAAAGCTCTTTTATTACTGTTATAATAGCAACTGGGACATGTTTCATACACTTACTTTTTAATTTCACATCAAAAATTATTCGTATACATTTCACTACGTTTTAGTTAAAAGTCAACCGAATAGGAATTCGGACAGCATACTACTGATGATATTCGACGATGGTCAGCCTACGTCATTTCGTTATTGATATGCATGATCATTAATACATTGTTAAATCTTAACTAGTACTTTATAATGCATTTATTAATTGGATTCATGAGTCATTCAAAGATAGACCACCATTGGAAAGGTGGAAACACTGTACGACCGTTCCGTCCTAGTGTGGGACTTTTAGCAGTGAGCATTCACGACCACGCCTCGAGGGATTCAAACCCAGGACCTGTCAGTCTCGCGCACGAGCGCTTGACCACAAGACCGCTCAGCCGGCATCAATCTGTGTTAATGTTTAACTTCAACCAATTCACAAAATTGCACCACTGTCCACCATTGTCTTCAGTGAGTTATTATCTAATAACAGACCCAGTTGAACTTCACTTGTCACGTCTTCTCACTAAAACTTTAATAAATACCTTTTGAAGCCAGTCACTAGTGAGCATATGATGTCCTGCGAGTGAAACCGATAGGTCCTTAGTTCGAATCTCGTGAGTGGGATCGTGGATGCGCACTGTTGAGGAGTCTCACACTAGGACGAAACGACCGTTCAGTGCTTCTAGGTTTTCCATGGTGGTCTAGCTTTAATTGGCTCATGAATTTAATTGTTAAACGACTATAATATCCACAGAAAGCTCCCTTTCTGATTAAAATGTAATTTGTTTCCTATAAATTCACAAATATTCAGAATATTTCATAATTTAACCTTATATATATATTTTATTGTAAAATTAAATGATAATTTTCCAGAATCCAGGTAAATATTCTTTCAGTGACAGTGTTAAATTGTTTATTGTATTTGATTTTGCCATACTTTACAATATGTCATAATGTTTCATCAAAACAAATAGAATAGATAGGGATAATAATTAGTAATTGAATTAAATTAATAAATATCTATTATATGGTATTATCTATTGCAGAGATATCTCTAAATTGTTATTATTTATTAGTGTGTATGTTATTTTCTTGATTATTCATGTAACTGATAGTGATACGATATTGATACTGTATTTTTGTCTCCTTTAACTTTGACAGATGACAAAATGTTTTACAATAAAAGAAAGTTTAAGTTTGATTGTTTATGTAATTAGATGATACGTTCTAGTGTTTCTAAAGAAGAAAATATATCCAAGTTTTTATACAGTAAAGTAGACCTGAAGAAAAAAAGTAAAATACGTAATCCAATGAGATGGTGGAGAAGGTTTGTAGTTCAGGTGGATGATTTTGATTGAGTTTTGTTCATTGAGCTGGATGGTTTGGTTGTGGAGCTTTCATCGTTCTTCTGAGCGACATCATCGGTACAAACTTCAGGTAGAAGTGAAGTCGTTGAATTTCTCCACATATAGTTCACCGCTTATTCTGTAGACCTCGATGACACGTTTAAGGTCAACAGTAACAAATCAACATCCAGGTCTACTGGACAAGCTATGAGCCATATGTGGAGAAATTCGAACACTTCAATTCTACTTGAAGTTTATGCTGATGATGTCGTTTAGATGAACGATGAAAGCTCCACGACCAAACTATCCAGCTCGGAGAACAAGACTCCATCAAAATGTGTGATCCGTATTTTATAAGTCTGTTAAGATGAATTTAAATCGTTTATGGTTCCACATTACCAATATAAGATTATTTTTACCTGATAAACGATATCTTCTATAACAGTTCTATGAAAATTGAAGGTTAAATATGTCACTATTTTGATTGCATTTTACTCTTTTTTTCAACACCGAATACTATTGTTTATTAGAAAAGTCCAACAAAATAAGTGGCTGAAACATTTGATAGTAAATTGAAAAACCTTTTATCTGGTCAAAGCTATTCTTCAGGTTTATGGTATCTATCATTGAAGGAATATTAAGATGACTTGTAACAAATTTAAAATAAGATTAGAATGAACTCAACTTAATGGTTTGTTTCTAAAATCTGTTAAAAGTAATGCGTATGAGCTACTAACGCAAGTAGTTAGTTAAGTAGTTAGACAATGGATATTTATGCAGTGAGTTTTAATATTTTTCTGATTTTGTGTTGCAATAAAGTTTATCAGTCTATACATGCTGATTAATTTCTCATTGTTCATCCAGTCATTATTCGTCTATAGATATCTATACTTATTTCAATGGAAAAGTCAAATTGAATATTTATGGAGTTGTTACTTGTGTGAAATGGTATTCACTAATAAGGATTTCCTAATACAAATAGTTCATCATAAAAAATTGAAAGTTATGTATTCAAACTTAACAAATATCTCAATTTATAAAAAATAATATATTTTGAATGTATTCTTTAGTGGTCTTGTATATCTGGCTTCAATTTGATCGTATGTATGATGTAGAAATATACATATCATCAATCCTCGTATATAATTATTGACTTAATTTGGGTTAGTGAGTGACGGAATTAAATATGTCGAATACTAGAATACATTTCAAATAAATATATTTCATACAATCTATGATCCCGACAGAATATCGGAGAAGCGAAGAGAAGAGAGCGAAGCAAAATGACGCGCAGTGGAGAAGGCGTGTGAACCAACTCGATTTAATCAAGCGTTAATCAATATTTATCATCACACAAAAATAAGCTAGAGACATGTGATAAGTAGGATAAGAAGTGTACACAAGGTTGATAAGCGAATAATTGGAAAGGTCAAAATGTGACTAAGAATAGTGAATAAACTGATCTGTTCAGAGGCTACAACAACCTATGTGGGCTTGCATAACAACTGACACTACAATTCCTTAATAATTACAAATTTTTGATTGAGATTATTATTCGATTGATTTTAGACCACCATTGAAAACCTGGAAGCACTTGATCGCCATTTCGTCCTAGTATAGGACTCCTCGGCAGTATGCATCCACGATTACGCACGCGTATCCTGGATTCTACTGCTAGCCACTATCCATCTTTGCTCATAAAATTCTCATTCTGTTCGCAAGCATTTGGAATACATACGAATATTCTGCGGTAAATATAATGTGTATTCAGTGTAGACTAAATTTACGGAAGTATGAATTAGTTTACAGTTCTCTGCAGGTGGTGATTTCGCAAACTTTGACAATACTTTGTTACTGGCTAGTGATAACTGGTTTCATTTGTTTAGCAATTCAAATGAAAATGAGCCATTTAGGTCTGTAGTTGAAATCACGAACTGATCTCATTCAGACCACCATGGAAAATAAAAAAAACTGTATAGCCGTTTCGTTCTCATATGGGACTCTTATACAATGAGTATTCGCGAACCCTCAGTTGGTAGCCAAACTCGAGTCTCCGGTCCCGTGAGCAGATGCTCAACCTCTAAACCACTGGTCCGAGGTCGAACGGTATTGATGTCTAACTTCAAACAATTTACGATATTTTCAAACCCCTATGTTTTTTCTGAGGTGCTTTAGCTCACTAGAATTGAAGGAGTGACTAGTGAGCACACGATTGTTATTAGTATAACAAGATTGTGGAAGTTTTAGGTTTTCATAGTTTCGATCATGAAGCAGATTTCCACCACATCAAATGTAAGACAGATGTCCACCACAAATAACTCATATGGGTTGCACACATGGGTTGCTCATATGGGTTTGAAATTAGACATTAATACCGTTCGACGTCGAACCAGTGGTTTAGAGGTTGAGCATCTGCTCACGAGACCGGAGACTCGAGTTTGGCTACCAACTGAGGGTTCGCGAATACTCATTGTATAAGAGTCCCATACGGGAGCGAAACGGTTATCCAGTTCTTCTTGAGTTTCTCTTAGTGTTATTACTAAGGGTAATTAGTGGTTTAGATTGTGATTATGTATGTATATCGAAGCACTGTTTATGGTAGAATGGAATAAATAAAATCTTTGAAGATTAATATATTGTTAATTCTTTTTTTTTTTTTACAGAATTCCACATTTTTTTTAAATGAACAACTAATCCAAATCAAAGTTTCCCTTGAATTTGGACGAATTAGTGTACATTTCATTTATCTATCAAATTCAAAAACTCTTCGTTTACCTTCAGGTGCTGTTGCACTAAATGACAATGCTTGGCATTATGTAGATTTTTTTCTGAATACACAGGTAATATTTTAGAAAGTGGACTGGTTTTTTTCGCTGATTTTGGTCAAATAGGATTAGATTCAAATAGCAAGAATAATGCTGGGACCTGGTTCTCAGTAAAACTGAACTGATTCCATTTAACTTGTTACATGATCCTGTTAGTTGTGTATACTGGTTTATTTTTTGACACAATAAAATAATATCGGAGTAATGTAGGGAGTGAAGATATATGAATTGTAGGTTTAATTATTTTTCTCATAACGAAGTCAACAGTTGCTGAATAAATATTTCTAAGCTATATCAGTTTATTGCATGCTCTTATGAGCATGGAGCACAGCTAGTGTACATTGAACAAGTCATTTGTTCTCGATTAGTGTTGTTCATAGATCATTCTCTGCAGATTCACTTTTTATAAATGTAACTTAAGATTTAGACATCTGAAAATGATTACCTTAATGTTGATACATTTAAATCAAAACCAATGATAATAATTAACTATTGCTATTGATCATTTATTTTGAAGAAATAAACTTTTGAGTAATGATGTAAACCCAAACCGAGTTCAGTTTTAAGTGATAACTCTTAGAATTACTAGGCAATGTGTTCATCCGACGTTTTGATACATCAGATAAATATTGAGTCTGATAATTTAGACTGAAATTCACTGACCTTTGAATGGCGTATAAAATCTGTGACTTTCAATCGCTTATGTCTTAATTGGCTTTAAATAATATTTATTCATATGCCTAATATTTTATATATAAGCATACAATTTCACTTCTTTCAGTTAATGGTCCAGCTTTAAAATTAATCTATTTGGTGTTTTTGTCAATGATTCCGGATTATAAGAAGTCATTACTCGTTCACATAATATAACTGTGTTCGCTCATTGATTAGGATTTTATTCACTTGAGTTAATAGTTTTCAAATCTTGTATTATTAACCAATTCGGAACATCAGATAAATAATTCTATTCTGATGCCGAGTATGGCATGGAAACAAGTCAAGTTTAAGATGATTCTATTATGCTTTTTCTATGTACTAAATCGAGAAAAGATATAGTTTAGAATACCTTGCACTAAGTTATTACATATTTTTAATAAATTTCCCTATTTGATCAATTATTTATACAGGTTAATGGCGAATGGAATCTAGTCTTATTGATAGATCGTTGTAAATATTCTGAGTTAGGACCGTGTATGGTGAACGATACAATAATTTTATCAGTGAATACAATACAAATAGGAGGTTATATTCTAATAGGTGATGAATCTGGTCCATCTACAGAGAGATTTAGAGGATGTTTTGATAATGTTATGGTGAATAGAGAGGTAAAGTTTTTGGAGTAAATTTTCAGTTAAACTGTCACACTGTAATTAACTTATCCGGCTTTATTACAACATTTTATAAAGTTTCCATTTATATTCATTTCTGGTTATTGTGAATATTTGGTTCTACGATTATTATCTTTTGGACTCTGTCGTCAAGGGATTGTCTTCTACCTCAATTGTAAACTAGTTTAAACCAGAATGACATGAATTACCATCATTTATATCTTTTGAAACGAAAAACTAGCTTAGAAGATACAATTTCGTTACTCCCCTTAATTCTATTACTGATCCACATATGGTGCGTAAAACCTATGGAGTCCAGTATGATTGTATAAATTTATATGATGCTAAGATGCCAAACAGCGAAAGTCCCAGAAAATTTGTAAAATTCTCGGTAAAGGTACATACGTTCTAACAAACTTTGGCGTTCACTGAACGCTTTATTGACTTACGAAGGTCAGCTGTATGTATTTGTATTTGAGACAACTTAAGTCCCGATAATGTTTGATGTAAAAATGCTTAATGTTAGTAAATACTCAATAAATGTGAAAGCAGTTTACGTAGGATGGTTTAAAATATTTAACTTGTAAATGATATCCTCGTTACGATAATGTTCATCAATCAATCCTGAAATTTAATTGAAATAAAATGTAGTCTATTTTATCCTTTTAGTTGATCGATTTCTACCCGGTACTTTTATCGCAAGGTTCTCGGCGTGGTTGTCCAGACTCTCAGAAAGGTTGTGTAAGAGGTAATGTAAAATTATGTGGAAAGTATGGGAAATGTCGAAATGCAATAAGTTCCACCGATATACTGACTTGTCAATGTGAATTAGGTTATCGACCTAATATAACAGGTGCACCGAAACCACATAGATGGCCATGTGAAACTGGTAAGTAAAGCTTTTAGAGAACCACATTTATGAATTCACTAAAGCAAAATTAACTAACTCTTCAATATATGCTGTTTGTGTTCTTATAATTTTATCAAAATTTTTAAAAAAATGAATAAATGGATATACAAAATCTGACAATTAAGTGAATAGTTGGACTGTTTTAAACTCCATCTATCTCTTATTGCAACTATGACATCTGATGAACATAATTACCCAAATTGAAAAATGCAAGAGTATAAGGGACCGACTGATATAACATTGGTCTTATTTGTAAGCAATGATGGGTAGTGGCTAGCAGTGGAATCCAGGACGCGCGTTTTGATTGATCAATCGCAGTCTTAAACCTCAATCGGAAGATGGCGTTTGAAACGAATGGTACTGGGTTTGAGTCCCAGAATAAACATCATCTCCGAGGTGCAGGTACATCCGGCTAACGAGTTTCAAATAGGACGAAACGCACATCCTGGATTCCACTGCTAGCCACTATCCATCATTGCTTACAAAAAGCTTGTGAATTAAGGTAATATCGAGGCATACGCACAATATGCACATATGCCGATAACAGACTGATCAATTGCAGGCTTAAACCTCAATGGAAAAATACAAGCCAAATAATACCAAGTGAATTGGTCTTATTTATTATCAGAATTGTGTATAGTTTATTTAATAGAGTGTTCTGCTTAAATCTTTGTCAAATTCATAATTGTGACAACTCGTTTCTTTTTTTTAAAAAATTACTTTTTACTTATCATAGATTAAAAATTTACTGTATGTAGTCATATAATCTAAAAGCTAAATACAATCGAGTATGGTGTCCAGTTATTCATACTTATCTGGTTTATACTTATCTAATCACATTGATTTGCTTGAAAAGAAGCTGATTTATTTTATAATTTTATAATTTTTAAAATATCTCAAAACTTAGATAAATAATAATTATTTGTCACATTGACAGAAATAAGAATGAAAGTGTCAAATAGTAAGTTGTACCGGGTATTATTCCTAAATAAAAATCTTAAATAATCGTAAAATCTATTAAATGGACAACTGATAGGGATTTTTAGTAACTGTATTAGATATATTCAAATGACTTAGCATATACCTAGGATATGCACAGATTTGTACATTAATAAAATAAATAATACATCATTTCTTAGACGATGGACAAATTACAGTTAACAAATGGTACGACAGATAATATTTTCGAAATATTCAATGCATGTACACGTTGGTACCAACGTCTTTAAATACAGCAATACGTGGTGCACTTTCGGCAAAACTGCATATATTCACCTTGCTAAAGAGTATCAAAAAATATACTTCTAGGGTGTCAACTTCGAAGTGCTTGTAATTACATAACATTGAAGCATAGTTCACTTAGTGTCATATTCCTTTAGACTAATGGTCTCGTTGTAAGTTGTTTTACAAAATTAATTAAGATTTAATACTATGAAAACATGAAGTTGCTATCTATCCTACAGCTAACTGGTGCGAATGTCTAGATTATATACATTTCTTCCAGATAATGTATGCATTTTTCGTGTTGTGGGATTTTTACTTTTCAGTTTCTGATGGCTGGTCTACAACTAATGTAGTTTACAATGCGTTATTCACTGATAAAGTTCCGAATCGTTTACGATTGAGCATAAGAACAAGAACTCAAACATTTATGGTTTTTGCAGTTGGTGCGTGGAAACTTTCTATAAGTGTGAGTCAATGATATTTTGATTTAAATATTAGTTATTTGGAAATGAATCTTTTTCAAGTTATTCTATAAATGTATAAACATTTTCTGAAAATTAAATTCAAGTTGTGTACTTATTTAAATGTTTATCACCATAACAGACCACATAATCCGGAATTTAAAACAAAAGCTTAGTTTCTGTGAAATTTTTCAATTCAAGTAATTCAAATGCTTAATGTGGTTTTATTGTATGTGTGACTACTCGTTGATGCTCTCATGATTACATCTACAAAGTTTAGATTAGTCTGAAAATTTCATTTTACATTCTGGGCTACTTAGCATGAAATAAGTAGTTTGTCATAAATCTTGAAAAGTATTCTGTGAGGGTTTTTCGTCGTTGATGACGAAAAAAAATACCCATACTAGATTCTTGGTCCTTGAATTAGAGATATGTTGAAAGGGTAGGGTAAAGTGTTAGTAAAAGCAATAATATTCAAAAATTTGTTTCTGATTGTTTTGTTGATAGAATTTATGTATTGTTGTCAATATCTTTTATGGTGTTTTTCTCCTAATTATTTTAATTTAAAAAACATAAATTCAGACATGCCAATTTGATTTATAAAGCTAAAATAATGCCTAACAAATTAAAAAGCGAATTTCTTTCGCGTTCATTAATTGAAATATATACATGGGAAGATTTGAATTGAAAGATTTTTTATATTCCGAACTGAAATGTATTCTTGATCTTAATAGTCATTAAAAGATAGATTTTATAACAAAGTTGGCAATCAAACAGGAAACAGTTTTAGTCAGTGGAAGGAAGAAGGCGTTTAAGTTTGTTTGAATCCTTTAAAACATACTTTTGATCTATTTTAGTTCTGGAACAAAATATGAAATCGGAAGATTGTAAATCAGTAGAGAATATCATGAACTAATCAAATGTAGAACACCACTGAAAAACTGGAAGCACTAGACAGCTGTTTCCTTCTAGTATGAGACTTCTCAGCAGTGCGCATTTACGATCACACATGAAGGGTTCGAACCAGGGACCTTCGACCTCGTGCGAACGCTTAACCTTCAGACAACTAAACCGAGATCCAACAGTGTTAATGTCTAGCTTTAACGAATACACGATATTGCGTGACCATCTTTAATTGTCTTCGGTAGGTAACAGTATCATGCCAGACACGGCTGAACTTCACTCGTTACGACCTCTTTCTCGAACGCCAAGCATCACCTCTTGAAGGGAGTGACTAGTAGATACATGATAATTATCACTATAGGGTTGTGGAGATTAAGAGCTCGCGCGAGCTCGAAGGTCCTGAGTTTTGGGTCATGCTTGCGGGATCTTGGATGCGCACTGTTGAAGAGTCCTATACTAGGACAAAAAGGCCGTTCAGTGCCTTCAGATTTTTGATGATAGTCTGAAATTGACCGGTTCATGATCTCGATAAAATCTCAACAATCTCTACCACCGTGTGCTGGCAATGAAGAATAATTCTAGAGGTACGCTATTTCAGTAGAAAGTATGTTTCTCAGTATTTTCGTACAGATAACTTAGAAGCAGTGCAAGTATCGTATGTTCTGTGACCTGAGAAACAGTTTATGGAGGATGTTAACGTTTCAGCTAGAGTGATGATATACAATATGAAATTTAAGATGGGGACTTTAATTAAGGATGTTAAATGAACAATTATTTCGTGGTTTACATCAATGAGCAAATCGAACGAATTTGAAACTTGTTATGAAACTTTTGTTGACATCACGAGTTGGTTTAATTTAGATAACCATTGAACACGACTTTACAACCTAACATGAAACTCCTAAGTAGTCAGCATCCATAACACCGCAATCGTGAGTCCAACTAGGGAATCCGAGTTCGTGCACAAACGATCAAATCCTAAACCAGTGATCCGGGATCCAGTGGTGTGAATGTCTGGTTTCAGTCGGCTCATGATATTGTGGAACAGTGATTTATTGCTCGCAGTGGATAATTATTTTATATGTATATTGACTCCAAAGAAAATGACTTTAAGTTTACTACTAATGAGTCATAGAATAATGAATAAAAGCATACTTCGTACAGATTGAAACATGCACAATATTCGAAACAACTTATTATTCTTATGACACTCAATTTGAAGAAATACAAGTATATTTTTAGTGTTGTTTGGTATGAAGTGTAATTAGCTACAGATAGTATAAAAGCCGTGGGGTATTAAACTTTTAGTTCTATCTAATTCAGGATTCTCTGGAATACGTACTCATTATCTTGTATAATGTCATATTAAAAACTTTCAAATATCGTGAGTATCATGGAATAATCCAGACTGTGAGATAGTACCTGATAGTTGATAGTTCTGTAACTCAGTCAGTTTCCGATATGTGTCACTGTTAGACTGTGTCATTGATAATTGACCTTCTTACTTCTGACTCTGATGAAGCCTCAGGTTATGGAAGTTTAAGAAGATTACCAATACTCCATCTTAGGATTCATTTAATTCAAGAAACGTTTTTATTGAATACAGATGCAAACTTTGTGAATTTAGTGTGATGTAGTGTCATGAATACTGAACGTCAAGAATTCATTAGTATGGGGTTAAGATTATTAGGTTTTTGATTGAGATCATGAACTGGTTGATCTTAGACCATCATTGAAAACCTGGAAGCACTGGACGGCCGTTTCGTCCTATTGTGGACTTGTCAACAGTAAGCATCCACGATCCCGCTCGCGTGGTTGAAAGCCAGGCCTTCGATCTCGCGCAAATGCCTAACCTCTAGACCACTGATCCGGTATCCAACAGTGTTAATGTCTAACTTCAACCAATCAACGAAGTTGCGTGACTATCTTCCTTATTATTATTAGGATCGGATAATCGCATAGTACTCTCCGACTTCCATTCCTTTATTAGAACTTTCTCACTAGTATCCTAACTACTTCTTATTAGTGTATTCTTTGCATTTCACTAAAAGTACAATGACTTTCTTCCCAAGGAAAAAAAGCGTATTCGACAGCTTATATATTCACATAATACAACTCCCTTTATACAATGCACATTACATATTTCGTACATGACTAATTATGTCTGTATTTTGAATCTATCAGTAATAAAAAACATACATTATTGGTATATAAAATACAAAGTAATTCATCCACTAGTTAGTTATCAAAATCTTATGTAGAACTAACAAAAAATCAACATTGCTAATAAATAAATAAAAGAGAAATATTTCAAAAAAACGAAAAATAAAACATGAAAATGATATTTTATTGTATCAGTCATTCAGTCAGTCATCAACAACATAGAACTTCGTACGTACACAAATCATTTCGAGTTGCCATACCACATTAGCACAGAGATACAATTGTCAATTCAAATCTCATCGTGGTAGAGGCAGTAAAATTATAATCAGTAATCAGGAAGATTAGGGTTTGATAATGAAATATATTTATAAAGTGAAAAAAAGGGGTGACATGATAAATTCAGAAGATTAGAATTTGAGAGAACACAAACAATAGATTCACATGTACCATTAGTTAATATTTACATAATTATGTAAATGTCTTTTTCTTAAAGAAAAAAACAAACAAACAAAACAACAATAGTCAACATACTAAATTGTGATAGAAATAAAATGACAACAGCAACAACAGAACAATTCAACTTTACAGTTAACCATGTAGGTAAAAGATGAAAACAAAATGTTCTTAATAATAAGAACACATACAAAATAGTCACTGTTAACATACTTGTTTTAAAAGGTCATGAATTGGATCTTTTTTGTTGATGATTAAATTTCTATTTTAAATAATATGGTTAATAATGTTTTATTGAATAAAATGATTCTGTTGAATAATGAATATCCGAATATTTGAAAAAATATAGAAACAATAAATTCAGTATTTAAAATAGAAAGGATAAATTCACTTTTAAATTCAATAGGCTAATTATTGAAGTTTTTATTTGTCTTATAAGTAAACACCATATGCTTATATGAAACTAATATATATATATTATATTATCAGTCTCATAATAGAAAACATAAGACTACATGATATCTGATAACTTAAAAGATATATTTCTATAAAAGATATTTAGTATCATAAGGGGGTTTGTGGAGATTGGTAGTTATTTCAATAGTTGAGGTCATTAATCAATTGAAGCTAGACCATCATGGAAAACTTGGAAGCACTGGATAGCCGTTTCTTCCTATGATGGAACTTCTTAGCAGTGCGCATCCAGGATCCCGACTCCCAGGATTTGAACCCGGAGCCGTAGAGTGCGTCTAGCTTTTTCATGATGATCAAGCCTCAATTGACTCATGATCTCAATTAATAAATTTAATATAATATCCACAAAAACCCCTTCTGAAACTAATCAACATATGCTCACTAGTGACTGGCTTCAAGAAATATATCCTGGAGTTCTAGTGAGAAGCACTGATCAGTGGAGTTCAACTGGGTCTGTTATCAGATAATAACTCACTGAATACAATGGTGGATGTGTCGCTCAACTTCGTGGATTAGTTGAAGTTAGACATTAACACCATTGGATGTCGGCCGGCTCAGTGGTCTGATGGTTAAGCGCTCTCTCGCTCGCGAGACTGATAGGTCATGGGTTCGAATCTCTCGAGGCGGGATCGTGGATGCGCACTGCTGAGGAGTCCCACAATAGGACGAAACGTCCGTCCAGTGCTTCTAGGTTTTACATGGTGATCTAGCTTCAATTGACTCATGATCTCAACCACTGAAATTACTACAATCTCCACAAAGCCCCTTCTGATACTAATTATTATTGTGACAATTATCCATTAGAAATGATTACATAAGTATCTTTCATAAACTTTCTTAAACCATAGTATATCAGTCACAAAAAAGATGATACTGTTAAACCGTAAAGTTGACGATAGTTTCAGTTAAACAAGATCTTGAAAAAAAAAGATCAACAACGAAAAATATATACATTATTAACTTTTTACTCAATAGTCAATTTATCTGAAATCATCAGGTTCAACCTTGGCAT